GTAAGCAATGAATATAAGCCTGATTATTAGATGTAGTACTGTAAGGTATAATGTTCTCATTCACCACAAACAAGTACAGACCAACGTTTGGCATGATTAGTAATTCTAATTAATTTCTAGAAATAATGCATAGAATAATGACAATTAAAGGTAGTTTATCACTATAATTTAAAAAAAAAAAGAATTCTACTGAATCAAAAATCTCAATTCATCAGCTCATTATTTCTCCAATCAATTAAAAACAAAAAAACAATTCCACGGTATCTGCATTTAGACCGGAGACCTGTGACGGGCAACCTTGGATATACCAAAACACAACAGTGGTTTGATTTACCATGGCCACACATAGAATTTGCTCAACATAAAAAGCTTAATCAAATCTTATGTGAAAAAAAGTAGTTCAAAGAAACAATTTTATGATTTAAAAATAAATAAAAATAAAAATATTACAAACCAGAAAGGAGTCTAAATATAAAATACTCGTATTACACATCCCTGATCAAATTAAATTCAAATCAACAGGATTTCTGATTAATTGGGAGGGGGGGGGGGTACAGGCACTGTTCAATAATAAAGTCAAGATGAGATTAATTAGCTAACTATTCACAACAATTCTGAGAAAAGAGCAATAATTGTGAAATTGAAAGCGTTGTAATACTTGGCTAATTGGCTAATATACTGACAGTATGCAAATGTCTTGTCAGTGACAGATACACAACACAATTTTGAGAATTTATTTGAATATTTGGGATTTTGACCTCATTAAACTTTGAAAAGGGTACATTAGAAATGACCGCACTACAAATTGTTAAGTTTGTCTGCCATAATGTGAAAATAATACAAAAAAACATAAAATGGGGTTAAGCATTTTTCTCAGAATTCCTAGAGCCATTGAAATTAGTGGTGACATGAATAATTCATTGATGAATGAATAAAATTTTTGGACCAGTTTAATAAAAAACATTTATATTTACAGACCACAGCCCAACCACAGCCAATTAATAAGATTAGGGCAAAAAATATACCGAATTACAAATTTTCAAAATCTTCAACCAAGGGCTACGAGCAGCCATTGGTTAATTAGTGGCATGAGACCTTTCGTAACAGATGAAAGACATAATCTGCCATGGTGATTGTCAAGGGCAGGTGCCGATGGAAGTCAAACGTGGCAAAACTGCGGTTTCCACATTGAACTCGTTAACGCCACTGAACGAAACGCAGTCCATATGTCGGGCACATCTCATCGTGATTACTGTATTACTACTTTAACTTGCCCTGGAACAGGCGGCTCACTTTGAACCTCTTTTGACCGTGTGAATTTATTGTTGATCTAGGATTATTTTCACCCCCAAAAAAGCGTTCGTGCAATACCCTGAATTCCCGGCTAACTAGATTTTTTGGTGTATTTTTAAGTGATCATAACTTACTATGTTGAAGAGTTTAAGCAGATGCTCACTAAGCGATATCCTTCATCGTTTTAATCTAAAACAAACATAGTTTAAGTACCATACCCTTTGCAGGTCCCTGTGTGGCTGGTGTGGTGGGCTTGAAGATGCCGAGATACTGCCTGTTTGGTGACACGGTTAATTACGCATCTAGGATGGAGTCCACTGGACTAGGTAACTAAGCAACAACTTAATGATACCCAGCGCGTGTGAGATGTCTTAACATATTCTCTACTGTTGTGCTGTCATCTATTCTCCAAATTCCTCACTGACACAGGTTATTGTCTGTCATCACTATCATTCCTCGACTAATAGTCATAACAGTTTGCCATCGTTCGCAAACGACAAATAACCACAATCTGTTCCAAAACAGTATTTTTATGCACAAAATATCCTCCCCAATAAAATGACTTGAAAAAGTAATCAGTAGATGTAATAATTACCAAATGAGGCAATTATATGTGTGTAAATGATTGTTTATATAATACTGGAGAAATTGTGAAAAAGTATACGTAGATCTGTGATTATTGCTGCAACATCTTACAAAGTTGACTTTTAATTTTATTTCTAAATTAACCTTCTGAAATACCAATAATGTTAAAAGCTAATACAATCTGATTTCAGCTTTGAGAATTCATATTAGTGCCGCATGTCGAGAAGTTCTCATGCAGCTTGGAGGATTTTACTTTGAAGAGAGAGGTGACGTTTATATAAAGGTGAGTAGATTTAATAAAGTAGTTACTTACTTGGTTGTTCACGATACTACGGTGGTTTATAAGACGATTCACGTCATAAGGATAGTAACCAACTGCCAGATTGTAGGTATAAATAAAACAACTACTCCTAGAACAGTCGTACTATCAACAAACATTTCCTAATGACACATTTATTCCAAATTGTTGTATTATTTACAGGGAAAAGGCAAAGTGAATACATGGTTTTTAATTGGAAAGAAGGGTTTTAATAAGCCTCTACCAGTTGTAAATTCGGCTTGCATCAATGAGCATCATTTCAAGTAAGCATCAAGCACATTGTGTTGGAGTCTCATTCGTCGACAGAAGATCGAACATTGATCCACCTCTCTTGGACAGAGAGAGAGACTTATGACGCCGATTTATAACTCTGATTTACTTAGATGTTCACGTGGTATCGCTGAATGACACGAGTGCATTCCAGTATTTACTTGGGTTTATATTACTGAACTTTGGAAAATGGTGCTTTCTCACAATATGTATTTGCCAGGTTATCGAGGCAGCGTGGCAGGACAGAGTACACTTATAATATAGGCATATTTAAATATGGCGTGCATGCGTTGCTAGGGTAACGGACAGTTCGAAATTATTTATCTCGTTCTACTGGCGTAACAATGTTGGGACTTGTTTTATGCTCTTTTTAAATTAAAAAAAGTAATACAAATTTAAATTACATCAAATTGAAAATATGTACATAAGTACTAAGCATATCGAAATATGTGTGCGTGGAATGACTGCTATGCTAGGTTATCCATAGGTTTTGAATACAAACGAATCTGTTTATATAATATTTTATCTGTCACTGGATAACACCTGGTTCATTTATTTTATATATTTTATGTAATTTACTGTAATTTTTATGATTCTGTATTTGCAATAATGGAACATTTGGTGGTATTAGTAGTAGAATGAGTTTCGACTTTTTGTTTCTGATTTGGTACATCGGGTAAGCAAAACTAATTAATGTACAGTAACGTACCCCGAAATGCACCCCGACCCTTGAACTGTCAGCATTGCAGCTAACCGTCAATGCACACACAAATGTTATAAAGTTTAGTTACAACCATAGTTGAGTAAATGTACTTAGATTGTGAATACTGTAAACATGTGTTTAATGAGATCAGTTAAATTCTTCCCAAAATAATGTTTCTAATTGCACAAGTTATTTTCAAAGTATACATGATGGTTGGACGTGAACAATTCATTTATAAAATATAGTGATGTAATTTTGATGGTGACTGTGAAGGTACGTCATTGATGTTAATCAGTATGCAATTGAACATTCATGACATGTATAACTCTTTCACAGTTGTGTGGAGCTAAGCTCCATGGTAAACATTTAAAGTTTAGATAATCCAAATTCTGCTGAACTGAGGGAGATGTCCACGCGTAACACCCATCTGGGTGTTAAGTGTAAACATGTAAAGTGTTTTACTCCATATTATAAATCAAGTATTTTTTTATAAATTGGTTCTTCGATTGTTATGGGCAACGTGTCTAATTGTGAAGTTTTTCGGAACCAAGATCAAATTAATATATGTATATTTATGACAGCTGTTTTATGAATCAGATTTTGTATATTTGTAACATGAATTGTCAGACACTATATATACAAGTAAAATAGTAAATATCACAATTATATATTCAACTTGTTTATGTCATGTTATTTTCTTTCTGTTGGATATATACTGCATTTGCAGTGGATGACACAGGCCGTGTATAAACTATAATAAACTCATCATTACTCTACGGGACAACGACCTGTCAATTACCTTGTCGAATTGCAAGAATCGAGATGTAAATGACTAAATTAAATTAGTACATTCCGACGATTAGTGTATTCACAAATTATAACGGTTTTATAGTGGTTATTTGATTAGTCATGTTGCTTGCATAAATAGTGTATAATTTAAAAACCATCGGGTTAGATTAATGTACAGTAGCATGTCCCGAAATGCACCATGATCTTTGAACTTATAATCTTTGCTACTAATATGTTACAAGTGACGTTAAGTTGGGTAAATTCGCTTAGAAAGTGTATAATGTAAGTTACTGTAAGTTATAAGTTACCTTGAGTCGTTTGTTAGTATATTTACCATAGCTTTTGGCACAACATAAAGAACATAAATACAACATTTCTGCTTCATAAAGGAGTATACTCCACATGCCAAGATGACGTTGTTACCATGAACAGACAAGATAAAGTATTCTAAATGTGTTTGTACAAGTCAGCTGACATGGTGTAATCTATACTACTATAAAAATATTGCGTCACATTGCGTCAACACTTTAAACACAAATATTCATCATTTTAGGACAAAAATACGTCACAACTTGCTGAATTGACGCCAGAGTATCGTGTGACATTAACTGATTGTATTATGTGATAGATATAGCTATGAAATGCATATTAATAATACGTCGCCATTCTCGTTAGCCACTGGCGTCTTGATACAGAAATACCCACAGGAAAACCGCAGTGCCGAATAAGTTAGCTTTCATAGGGCATATGTCATTATGTTTTTGTCCCTTAGCAAAAAGTAGTGCGTATATATTGGATGCAAAATCCTGTACACACATTTTTTTTATATAATGTTATCATTAAATACAAACATTTCAAGTGAATGGAGCAAAAAATAAGTTTATATTTTCTCTATACGTACGTCCTAAAATCTCTGGAGTTAAGACATGACTCG